TCATTCTTGCCTAATTTTGCAATCGGTCTTTTGACAAATTCTACCTAGCATATGTATATACATGTAGAATATGGTGATGAATACGTTAATCAATTATTATGTTCAGTTTCATTGAATTCAACCAATCAACGAATTTGGTCTAGGCAGAAGCATCTGGCACGTTATTATTTTGTTTTGAACCAAAAATTACGTAGTCAGAGTGCAAGTTTATACTACAAGTTGATCAGGCGCTTAAGCCGCTAGCACCAGTTTGACAATTGTTGACATTTCGTACTAAATTCGTATTTGTCTGCGAAAAAATATAAAATTGCTTTCCATACAGTCCTAGTGACCCAGAAACTGACGAAAATGATGAAGGTTTCTGTGGATTTCAAAAAGCAGCTGAAGCTAAATGAAAGCAAAAAGCATGTACCTTAACATTGAGCTTTTCCCTGGACAGTTTTCTGGTAATTTTGGTTTTATTTCATTCCACTTCTTGTTTCTTTGAGTGTTCAGTCTGAAGTTTGTTAACAAAAATGTATTCCCAACACAACATTGAAAAATGCAAAATATTGGAGACAAACCAACATTTTTGATGGATAATGGAAGGGGCCAACAGAAACATTGAATCCTACCTATTTTCAATTAGAATCGTTGTAAAGAAATGTCTTTCACGTTATAAATACTAATTGTACATTTTCCCATCTTAGTACCACGAGATTCTATTGATGAAGCCTAGCACGCCCAAAAAATCTATGAAAATCAAATTAAATCACTTAATGTTTTTATTGGGTAAATATACTGACAGGTGGTAACTAGGTATTTGCTTTTAAACAATAATCTGTATGAATTCGCATAGCATCATAGATAGAATGTGTGCCTTGCATCCAGCAAGATTGGCTACCTGAATATTTTCCGAGAGCAAAAAGTTACTGCCATCTAAAAGTATGTTTAGCTCCTAACCTATTCGAATTCGTTGCAACGAATAAACATAAGAGAAAGCTACATTCTAAGCATCCATACATCCTGTCATCAGAATGTTTTTTGCAGGTCTGCGATACTCTACAAGTGAGGGTGATTTCAAAGAAGACGCCTTGAAACTCAATAACGCGTTGTTCAACGTCAGAGCTATAATAAAGCATTTCAATCCCAAAATCGAGCAGTGGCTTGCTTCGAATAACTTATCAACCCCAACAGAAGAGCAGATATTGGAGATTGTTAAGAAAAATTATGACAGTTTGACTTTAAAGCTACAAGACTTTTTGGATCATTATGAACGGTATTCGGAAAAACCGCATTATACACAGCTTTTTTCCAACATGGTCAAGATCATTTTGTGTGATACAAAAAAGAATGTTAGTTGTTCACTATTGAATTTTACAAATATTGCCAATGAATATCCAGTTATGTAATATTTTTAAAGTTATATTTAAGAGTATTATATATTTTGTTGTAAGAAAATAAAAAACTTATTGTAAAATTATTGTGTGGTGTAATATCCCCAGCTTATCACACTAATCAACCTCCTTGTTCTCCCTGTCGCCAAATGAGGCTGGTGTATTTGGACAACTGTTCTGGGCGAGATTTTCCGTTCCCGCAATCGTCTGGCGCTTTCAGGTCAGGGTGTCGGTCTGATACATAAAAAAAATAAATAACGTCATGCTCTCTTGTCACTTTAGAGACGCTGGACGTGTTTTGGTAACTGGGATCCTTGCCTCGGGCAGTTCTCTATTATACTGTGAGTTTGCAGAGTGCAATTAACAATGCAATGCTACGAGGAGGTACGAAAAAATAACCGGAATAGCATTGCAATGGGCGAAGCTTGTGTAGTACACATTTCTGCCCCTAGAGGCGTACAGCGCAACTCATTACCAGTTCAGTGCCACCTGAGTTGTCCATCTGGCTTATTTCGTTCCTCTGTAGTCATTATTTTTGCTAGAGCTATTTCGTGCTTGTTCCGTTTTTTACGATGGCAAACTTCAGTGAGCAACGTGCAACTTGCTTTCTAATTGGTAAAAATGCTGCTGAAACTGTTTTAATGTTGAAAATAGCTTACAAAGATGATGCTATAAGAAAAACTCAGGTGTACGAGTGGTTTGCTCGATTTAAAAATGGCGTCATGTCGATTGATGACAAACCTCGCTCTGGACGTCCATCAACTGCTCGAATCGACAAAAATGATGAAAAAATTCGAGAGCTTGTGCTATTTGGAGGTTTTAAGACGATTGCGAAATAGTGTTCGGCAAAAAAGAGCCCGATTTGTGGCAGTCGGGAGACTGGTTCTTCCACCACGATAATGCACCTGCGCACACCGCCATCTTTGTTCGACAGTTTCTGGCTAAAACTGGCATGGTTCCACTGTCTCACGCACCTTATTCGCCTGACCTGGCTCCATGCGACTTTTTCTTATTTCCACGGATGATAAGGGGCATGAAAGGACGCCGCTTTGAGGACATTGAAGAGGTCAAGAAAAAAACGAGGGAGGAGGTGTCAGACATTTCTAACGAGAACTTCAAAAAACGTTTCGAGCAGTGGAAGCACCGGTGGGACAAGTGTATTAGTTGTAGTGGACAGTATTTTGAAGGAGATAAGGTTACTTTGTGAAAACATTGAAAATAAACAGCTTTTAAAAAATAATTGGTTTTTTTTGGTACCCCCTCGTATAAAAGACTCAAATTGTCGACAGGACATAAATATATGTTTTTTTGTCATTTTCACTTTAGATTGCAAATTTTAGAGCCACTGAAGTGGCTGAAACGTCAGTAAATTTTTTATTTCAACATCTCGGATTCCTTTTGGCGCCAGCAGCAGTGGCGTAGCTACCTTAGGTGGCACCCGGTGCGGAAGTTGGTGGTGTCACCCTATCGAAAGTCAAAAGCAATAAATTTTATATGATTTATAAACGTCAAGGATCATTTAAAATATTGAACAAAAAAACAATAAAAATAAGTCAATATTTTTATCTTACTATTAAAATCTCTTCTAGCTTTGACAGCTGCAAGCCGCGATTGGGTCACTGTTGCCCGCAAATAGTTTTTTATTAATTTTAGTTTACTGAAACTCCTGTCACATGAAACTACGGACACGCAAACTGTCATGAACAATTTTAGTGCAATCATAAGATTTGGAAGAGATTCTGTAAAATCCCATTCTACAATAAACTTTAAAAATCTAGAGATACCTAATCAGAAACTGTAACATTAGCGGCTTTTAAGTGTCTTAGCAGTCTTGGCATCTCCATTTTCCGAGACCTCATCATAAAAATCAGTAAATTTGGATGTAGCCAATTTCAGTTCTTCAGTATTCGCTAAAAGCAAAGTATTTCTTTGTACGATCTCGAACAATGAAGCTAGGTCTTGAAGAGACCTCGATCTTGTCTGAATTGGTTAACAACATATATTTTTGCAGTGCGAGTTCTGCATCACTGGCCATCTCACCAACCACCCGTTTTTTACGACGAAGTATTCTTTCTGTTGGAATATCTTCTGATTTTTTTGTAGCAATATCTATTGCCTCTTCCACAATGGGATCCTGTTTTTCTTCGATATAAAGACGAACTGCCTCTATTTTTTGTAGCAGTTTCGTCAACAGTTAAGCCTTTACTTTGTAATGCAATCTGTGCCCTTTTGCTACGCCACTGGCCAGCAGATATATTACATTCACAATCTCCAAGTGGGATTGGATGTTGATGAATGAAAATACGCTTTGTGGGTTGGGAATTTGAAAAAAAAATATTTGTTTGGCATGTACCGAGTTATTCGGTGCCAGTTTGTCTTTCTTCGTTGATAGTCAACAGAAATCCGTTAGATACACGAAGACATTTTATTAGCTACACTCCTAAAACAACTGATGATACTGATGAGTTTTTTAGGGCTTTAGATACCAAAATTCGGTTAGCTTTTTAGAATTAGTCTACTCAGCCACACAATGAACATTCTCAAAACAAATAAGTAACTTACTTTCACCTCTATAAACTAATCCAAAAGGGCTTTTTATTTAGTCTCCTAAAACTTTTTAAATCCTTGAAGGTAAGAAATTTCATATCAAAATAATGTTTACAATGCCATCAGATAGGCTTGTTCCTTAGGATTCGGTTCTCGGAACAATCCTCTATTCTATTTTCACGAATCACGTCCCTTCCTCCAGCGGCTGTGAAATCTCCAGGCTCGTGACGCTGCCCTGGTGGCCCAGTCGAGATCCGTGAATCTGGTTCACATTAGGTTGTAAAGCACTGTGAATGAGGTATTGAAATGGGCAGTTCGCTGGCTGATCAAAATCAAAAACTAACAACATTAGCTCTCCTCGAGGGATGTTTTAGTTATTATGGAGTTCGTGGACCATGAAAATATTCTGCTGACTATCTTGGCGTCATTTTGTGGAAAGGGGATGATCTGGTAGAAGCACATTGCAGTGTTAAAAACCAAATTCCAAATTACGTTTAGGCAAAGTCCGGCTATGCAAGATGATAAACGGGCAATCACGCAATTGCGACAGGGGTGTTACGTAAAAAATCGATTAATGTCAATAAATATAGGTATAATGTCAACTTTTGTACCAAGAAGTCGCTAGTCCATTCATTAATTATGAGCACCACCTAAGATGGACTGGCACAACGACCTTCATTCCGGCAATATACAGCTTCTGTCACAGAATCTATGAAAGGCCCCAACTAGTCGCATCTCTGAAACAGATGTTACATCACATCAGAGCCAAACCATATAACTTAAGTGTCTTGTTGTTTAGGTAACACGCACAGCAACTACAAGTGAACTCGAAGTCAACGATAACTAGTTCCAAGGCGATATTTTTTCGGAAAGACGTCAATTAAAAATCGATCTGTCACTTTTTAAGTTACGTAATCCGGATGGTGCTTGGTATTTTCTCGCCAAAACTCATATACAAAGCTTGCAGTTGACAAGTGAAAAACGAAAATACTATCATTCTGGAAAACGCAATTTTGTCTAATTGGAGGCCCCGTTGCATCTGGTGTCTGTTGCTGTTTTAAACAAACAAAAAAAAAATATTTTATAATTTCAATTTAATCATAGCAAACAACAATATTTACAAGTTATTAGACCTATTTTACAGAACTAACATATTTTTGGTTGAAAACAGTAACATTATTGTATTGATCCTTAAAAAATATACCCAAAGTTAATATTGTAAACTGAAAATAGTTAACACTATTGCTATTAGCAGCAATGGGTGCCCACAGGATAGTGCCAGAATCCTGTTGGGCCTTATTTGCATGTTTAGCATGATGTTATGTACAATTTTGGGGATTTTTAGGATCTGGGGGCAGATCTTCAAAAAATTCTGGCACACTTTCAATAAGCTATTTTTTGCCTATGATTGCCCCTCTCCCCTTAGAAAAATGTCTGCAGGCGCCCATGTTAGGAGCTTCTTATTTCTTGATATCACCCAGCAGTAGTCTTTAATCCAATAAATGCAACAAAATTTATGAACACTAACCATATTGACAAACCCCAACAAAACAAATTTTGCAATTTATAAAAGGTTGAATGCTATCTCCTCATTTGTGTGCTGTGTCTGTGCAAAACTTGAAAAACCGTATCCTTCAAGGTTTGAGGTTTACAGCATTCTTCAAGCCAACTAAATACACCTGCAGATAATTCAGAGAAGTTGCTTGATGATATGGATCCAAATGTCTCAAATAGAGTGTCCATTATAACCTGAAACTATAAATAGAAATCATAGTATTCAACCTCACTGTGAAAGTTTTGTGGTTAAAGGACAATCCTCTGGATATTTTACCAATATTTTATAAAGACGACCAAATATTTTCTAAATAATTTAATGTATACCATATTACTGAAAGACTAATATAAGTACAGGACACAATTTTATAAAGACAGATGGTGCATTGAATAAGAAAAACTCTAAAAATGGTCAAATAGTCTTTTGTTAAGACTTTGTCAAAACTGAATTTGCAAAATCTCTACTACTCCTTGAGGACAAAACATTCAAGAAACAGTAGTGATGGAGAGCTTCAAGTTAATCTATTTGATTTATTAGAGCGACAATTCAGTTTAGTTCAGTTTACACAGTGGCTTTTGAGCACTTTCTCATATAATCTCGTCCTACTTCAAGCCGCCTCACATGTCAATGCATTTCATTTCATGCTTTAGAGGGATTATTTCTTGGTTATGTTTATACAGGGTGTTTCAGAACTAAGGAATCAAACTTCTACGGGTTATTCAGTGTAACAATAGAAAACATTTGAGTATAGGGACCCATATCCGGTAAACTGTCACTACAGCACTACGGCCCTAAGACGCGTTATAATTTAAAAAGACGATGAATTGCTTAAATAGGATTTAATGCATTTAATATATGTCTTTTGTACATGATATCACAACAATTGTTCAAAATGTCTTCCTCCAACCTGAATACACTGTTTCTGTGGGGACATGTAAAGTCTTTGGTTTACGAAACTCCAGTAGAAACAGAGCAAGACTTAATTGGACGAATTACAGCAGCATTTGAACTCATTCAAAACGAGTATCAAATTTTTAGTCAAGTCCGCCGAAATCATGCGCGATGTTTAAATCGGTGTATTCAGGTTAGAGGAAGACATTTTGAATAATTGTTGTGATGATATCATGTACAAAAGACAAAAATCAAATGCATTAAATCCTATTTAGGCAATTCATCATCTTTCTAAATTTTAATGCGTCTTAGTGCCGCAGTGACACTTTTTCGGATGTGGGTCCCTATACTCAAATGTTTTCTACTGTTACACTGAATAATCTGTTCAAGTTTGATACCATAGTTCTGAAACATCTTGTATATTTTCTGGAGATTGGTAAATTTTGATTCAAGATTTTACAAACCCTTAGTTACAAATTTTTTGAAATGCATGACACTAATACTAAATTTTCATAGAACCCTGAAATCTGACTTCTAGATACATGTTTTGTGTTTGAGAGGTGGGATTCTCACTTTGAATATTTGAGAAGAATCAATTTACTCACTTGTGCAGTCCAGCACTCTATTGCAAAAGGCTAGCTAATATAGTAGCTTCTGCTCTCTAATACACAAGTCCAGAGGTAATGTGCTCTATTTTTTTATGGAGAAAAAGTACCGGTACTCTATGATTTAAGTGGCCAAGGAATAATGCATTTAAGCATACATTTCTGGGCACTAATTCAAACACCCACATTTTTCAGCTCTTCAGATTATTTTTAACATGTTAAATACAATGGTGGTCCCATGGGACCACTTCACAATGGGCCTATTACGCCACTGTGGTCCATATGGACTGTTTTGTATTTAGTTTTAGCTTAAGATAGGCTAGGCTTATGTTTCCCGCCACGCCATGATGGTCCCTGGGGACCGCTCAATATTTTGTGAAAACAGCTGAAGTGATCATAAATAAATGAATCAAACATATTTCTGTATACTGTAAGACATAAGCAGAGCAAATGACACAAAATTGGACTTTGGCCTGATGGACATTTTTCTAACATTTTGCTTGGCATTTAACATGTTAAAGTACCTATTTAATGTTGGAGAAGGAATACTATGTTAGTGCATCTACTATTTTAGTCAAGACCAAGTTGTTGATGTTAACAATTGGTTTTTAGTATGATTATGATACAGATAGCTACTTTACATACCACTGAGAATTTCACTTCATCTGATACCCTAGTATCAGCCTGACCAGGTTGGGTTTGTTGAGCCTTTACAATTTGTTCATAATTCCTTTGCATTATCCCTAAAGCAACTACTTCTTTTCTTAAGGCATTTCTTTCATCTACCTGTTTCTTTTTCTGAAGTTGTAGATACTGGATGTACTCAATAGACCTTTGTAGTACTGTTGCTTTACTTAACTTGTATCCTGAAAGTATGATAAAACTTACTGAAATATTGATAATGTTAATATTGTCTGGCTATCCTATTAATACAACAAGCTATTCTGGCGGAGTGTTGATATTTTATGGTTAATGTAATGGTTTGAATCATCAGCTTATTCAATAAGTTTGGGGCAATGTTTACCTGATATATCAGTTTGTTGGCAAGTGGGCACTAACTCTTGTAATGTATCGTATCCTTTTTTGATGGCATCCCTACGTTTTTGTTCAGCCTGTGTGTGTGCTTCTCGTCTCCTTTCCCTGTAGCTTATTGATGCTGAAGCTCTACTATCATCATCTTCTGTAGAGGTTAACGTTCTACTTAAATATAACAGATTTTTTTTAATGCAACTTACCTGTGCTAGGAACGTTTGATATTGCATTGGAATATTTTATTTGCTCATTTGACATGTTTTGCAAATATTTTAGCAGCAAATATTCACTTGTTTGACTAGAGTAGGTATAGTTATGATTGAACTACTAAACGTTTTAATTTATATTCCACTTAAGAATCAATCTGATTTTTGAAATTGCTAAATTAATTTAAAAAAACTTTCCATTCTTTGAAAAACAAATTTATATAAAAAAAATCACAAATGTCAATCAGAAAAGGTCACGTGGCTCTTGTCATTTACGGGGTGCGTTCGCGATTATTACAAACTGTATCACACCTATATCATCCATTAGGAGCAGGACCGTATGCTCCGTTGTTCGATTTTCGTCCGCCGGCGCGCATGACGTCACGCGGAGAGTGATTATCATTTGGGTTGATACGGATAACGTGCATATTTTCACCTACAGGCCAAACGGCTCGTCTTAGCGGTGCGAGTGACACTAGCTGCATTGAAATTTTATAATAGATAAAATGGTGGATTTTCATAAAAGATTTTAACCTTGTAATTCCTACTTCATAGGCTACAGATCAAACGGCTTGATAGATTTTCACATATGAGGTGTCGTTTCATTTCAACCCTGTAATTCCTATTTCACAGGTTATAGCTTAAACGGCTTCTAGCTCCACAATAGAGCGTATCGTCTCTTCACTGTAAAAACAAGATACGCATTTTTCTCCATTACCTATATTTTAGTATGTTCTGTGGAGCAGGATTAACATGTTCATGGCATAATACTGTACTACATTTATCCTTATTCCACAGAACATCCTTAGTACTTGATGTAAGTGTGAAAATGTACGCAACTCGAAAAGTAGAAAAATGGAGTTATCTTCTCTTTGCAGTAAGGTGGTGGTATAACAATAAATGGACATGACCGTCTAAGCAACAATTTTTTTCCATTTCCTTTTACGATTTTTCTGGTCTTTCAACCTTTTATTCAGTTATTTGATCCGAAATAATATCCTTGACCTGAAAAACAGTTTTTTTGCTTTTTCAGGGCAGTCAATGTTGCTGCTCTTCAACAGAAGTTCACCTATAAGATTTTGCTCTTTTGTCACTATTCCGTCTTCATTGAATGTAGTGAATACCTTGTTCAGCTTCTCAATTTGATTCTTGAAAGTTGCGGAAGGTTTTGATAATCCATCACCCTCACTAAGATAGTCTATCCATGAATAAGTTTCATTTGAGGAACTTTTCAACCTCTCATCCTGCAATTTATTGCAAACAAAGCCGGCCACATTTTCCAGCCCGTTATACTCGAGCTCATCTATTTCTTCCACTAAAACTTGCTCGGTATAGTCAGCTGATACTTCAGGTGCATTCAGTTTATTCTCGTTAATGATGCGGTTAGTGGTTAGTGGAATATCTGGAGTATCCTCTGACTATAAGTATGCGCCTTCGTTTCGCCCCAACATATATGACCTTATTCTATACTTAAACTCTAGAGGACTTGTATGGTCATGAATACCATCTTTTACCCTAATTACTTCGAAAAAGTTTTCTATCACATCTTGATTAAGACGTCTTGTTAACAGGTATTGGACGCTGAAGCGTCGTTTCAGATCCTCTAGAGCATTTTCTAGCAAATCCTAGAGCTTTTCACATTGACATTGTCTTATCTTTTTGTGAGAAGTAGCCATTTTTTTGCTAATTTTGGGTCTTGAGGAAAACTGTGGAACTTCATGTCTTTGCAAAGATTCCGTTTAGACGATTGTCGGAATTACATCCCACAACAGCACACCGCATTTTTATCAATTTATCAACCACACAGGGTATATAAGGTATGTATAACTAATACAATAAGTCACAAAACCACCAAAAAATCGCACTATATATTATATTATATATTAACCACGATACACGTGAACTGCAGTAACGTTACGACAATCCTGCCGCTGGCAACCACGAGCCGATAACTCTCCGGGTGACGTCACGAAGCTCCGCCCACGTGCGCAATATCCTATCTTCAGTGTATCTGTATCGGGATTAGGAGTAACACTACCAAAAATCTTCCAACAATGGTAACCATCCTAGAACATTTCAGCCAAATTCATGACAGTAGCGAAACTAATCGTACGCCACTGCTATTACGCGGAGGTCTTCGAAAATGCGGCGCTTCTTTGTGAAATGTCTGTAAACGTCGCTGTAATCAAAAGGTACAGCGTCTAAGCAGTGGAGCACGATGATTTCTGCTACTGTCATCAATTCTGGTATTTGACTATAACTGTTGAAGCAACATCTAGATCTATGACCTATTCAGGTGCGGTTATTACGTAAGACACCTATAACACTTAAATTCCCGATGGAATTGATTGGAATGGAGTTAGGCTCTCATGTTACAATTAGTTATCACTAGGGATGAAGAATTCGTGGAGCTCCAAGAAATGCATAATTTTAAAGCTTATACCTGGAAGACATATTTCATTTCCGTATCTTAACATGTCTTTCAGCTATGCACTTAGTAGTGAAATGTAAGACAGAAATGGTTCTTTCGAACCACAAACAGACTAGCACAATACGATCTACGTTTTCTTATTCATTCAATTCGTTTCTTCTCAACTTGCTGAGTCAGCTAATACAAATCTACTCAGACATTGATGTAAGTACAGAAAAAGGTACGTCTTAATCTAATACTTCACCCCAAACTGCATTATCACTGATATATTCATTCATTTTCATAGAAATGCTTTATAATCGCACTCATTACGTGAATTTTGAACAGAAACTGTGACATCTTTTCTTTTCATAACGAAGCAGCCGCACAGGCAGAAGCCTACGTAATGCCAGGGCACCGGGGCTGCTATGAGGATCCCAAAGAAATTTTGTTAAACCGATTTTTGAACTGCTTAAGGTTAGTAGATCTAGGAAAAGCTTCCTCTTGTAGATCGTTCCACAATCTCGACACCCTTGGGACAAAAGAGCAGTCGTATCGGCCAGTACTGGATGTACTAAGTTCGACACGGTTAGCATGGGAGGTCAAAGTCAGGCGGGTCTGTCTGGCAGGCACATCGCGCGGCGGAATGATGCGTGATGAGGTCTAGCGGAGAAAAGTACTTACTTCTTAGCCCTAAACAAATAGCCTAGTTTTTCCCAGCAGATGCCGCTATTGATGAGATGTGTTCGTGCCAGATCAAGTCCTCAGTGACCTGGACTTCGATCAGCCGAAATGAATGGCTCTTTTTTTATATATATCGAAGCAGCCGCGCAGGCAGAAGCCTAAATGCCGGAACACCGCAGCTGCTATGATGATCCCAAAGAAATTTTATTAACACGATTTTTGAACTGCCCAAGGTTAATAGAACTGGGAAAAGCTTCCTCTTGTAGATTGTTCCACAATCTCGACACCCTTGGGACAAAGGAGCGGTCGTATCGGCCGGTTCTGGATGTACGAAGTTCGACACGGTTAGGATGGGACGCCAAAGTTAGGCGGGTCTGTCTGGCGGGAACATCGCGCGACGGCATCATGGAAGAGAGCTCTGAGGAGCAAAGCCCGTTGGTGTAACGGTAGAAAAGAGCCAGATCGCCGACAGCCCGCCGGTGCGAAAGAGTCCCGAGACTGTCTGTTAGAGTGTTAGAGAAGAGTCATCGATCAGTCGGACCGCCCTCTTCTGGACAGCATCGAGCATGGATAATGTAGTCGGGGCGGCAGCACCCCAAACGTGCGAGCAATACTCGAGGCTAGGCCTTATCTGGGCCTTGTATAGAGTGAGAAGGTCATGCGAAGAAAAGTACTTCTTAGCCCTAAACAAATACCCTAGCTTTTTCCCAGCAGCTGCTGCTATTGACGAGATGTGTTCGTGCCAGATCAGGTCCTCGGTGATCTGGACTCCGACCAGCCGAAAGGAATGGCTCTTTGGCAGAACTCGGCCATCCATCGAAACCGGATGAGCGCTAGGTCGCTTTTTGTTATTCAAAGTACAGTACTGTGTTTTGGAAGCATTGAACTGTACAAGATTGTTGCGTCCCCACGCAGTGATAGCCTCCAGGTCTCTTGTCAGAGAGGTAGTCATCGCTAGTCTTCTTTTTTCCAACTCAGCGGCAGAGATCGGCTTGTCACTCTGAATTCCTACATGTAGAGTGCTGTCATCAGCGAAGCTGTGGATTGAGTTGATCGTGCAGGAAAGGAGGTCGTTGATATGTAAGAGAAACAGTGTCGGAGGCAAGACCGATCCCTGGGGAACACCCGCGTTGACGTTGTGGGATGAAGAGGAGAACCCCCATCAATTACGACGGATATCTTGCGGCCAGAGATAAAGTCAGCCACCCATCTGCAAAGCTTCTCTGGGAGGCCATAGGATGGAAGTTTGTTTAAGAGGGCAGCGTGCCACAGCTGATCGAACGCTTTCGTGATGTCAAGAGCAATGACATGAGCCTCACCATAAGACTGGATGAGTTTACTCCACAATTGAGGGACGTAAGCTAGGAGGTCCCCTGTGGATCGTTGGTGCCGGAAACCATACTGCCCGTCGCTAATCAAGCCGTGACGTTCGAGGTAGTCCAGAAGCTCGCGATTTATGCACCTCTCCATCACCTTACTTAAAACAGAAAGCAGAGCTATAGGCCTGTAGTTGTAAGGGTCGGTCTTAGATCCCTTTTTTGGGATCGGTTGGACATGAGCAAATTTCCAGTTTTCTGGGAAGGTGCCGGATTCATAAGATATCTGGAAGAGACGCGAAAGAACTGGAGCAAGCTCCGGTGCACACCTCTTCAGTACAATGGCAGGAATCAAGTCCGGACCAGAAGCTTTGTTGATGTCGAGCGACAAGAGCACTCGTCTTACGGTCTTATGCCTGAATGTTACCTCCTGCATAGTGTAGGGAACCCTTTGAATTGACGGCACTTGGACGGTGGGGGAGACGTCCATGGTGGAGTTGGCAGCAAATATCTTGGCTAGCACTTCCGCCTTGGCTTTTGAGTCGAATACAATAGTTCCATCCTGACACGTAAGTGGTGGAAGGCTACTGTGTGAGAAGTTCTTTTCAATCTGCTTGGCCAGCGTCCAGAAAGACCGACTGCCATTGCGCTGCGACATTACCCTGTGCCTAACTTTTATATCATGCTGGTTTTTGGCATTGCGAACCGCTTCGTTATATTTGTTTCTGGACTCGACGTCGGCTTGTCTGTTCTCTACAGTGGGGTTTTGTAAGTAGGTTCTGAGGGCCTTGATCTTCTGCTGGCGAGCAGTGTCACACGATTTGTTGAACCAGCCGTTGGACCCTGGTTTAGGAACTTTCACTGTGTGAGGGATGTATTCCTCCATTCCGACGTAGATAATTTCGGTTATTGAAGAACAGACAGTCGACGCATCCGCGTCAGTGAAACAGACATCTCTCCAAGGAACGCTAGAGAAGAAATCTCTGAGCCCCTCCCAGTCGGCATGTCCGTAATGCCAAGTTTTGCGGCCTGTGCGAGTTTCTGCTGCCACAGCGGCTTCTGACCGAAACCTAGCCTCCACAACACCGTGATCTGAGTTACCCAGGGGGGACAGGACAGCAGTGCTGTAAGGGGCAGGATGCGTGGTCAGAAAGAGATCCAGCAGGCCACAGAATGTCCTTCCGGTCTGATTCCAAAGAAAGATCCCTGGAGCAGGAAAGACTGCTGCGGACAAAAGCCACAACTCCCCCGTTCTTTCTCAGATTGGAGTGCACCTCGTAGTTTGGGAAGTTGAGATGGTTAATCGGTGCAGTCTCTGAGATTTTTGTCTCCGCCAAGAAAAGCACGGCGGGACGATTGGATTGCAGGTAGTGATGAACAGCATCGATGTTGCTGTTGATCCCGCAGATGTTCGAAAAACAAATTTTATCTTCGATGTTGTTCCCTCGAGCCCACCCTCCACCCGGACATTCCGATAGTGGAGTGAGTTTACGTCCGGGCATGTATTAACATTATGTGTACTTGACCTACGGCCCAGCTTTTCTACTAAATATAAAGGATTCTTAGAATATAATACACGATCCAATGTTGTTAGGTAAAAATGTTTGTTCTGTATGCCAGTTTATTTTCAATGGATTTGCGAAGGTACCTTTCTAAAACCGGTCCCACACAATGTGGCGAATGCCTTACAACGTTGGACACATGGCCATTCGCCACATTGTGTGGGAAAGCGCTGACAGATTATATGTGTCCAACGTTCGCCACATGGCCCGTTCGGGCTCTTGTCGTTTAACCCGCGTCAAAGGACGTTACAACGCTGGAAGCATGATTCGTTACGCACCCACACGAGATGTCATGTGTTTGATGGTTTTAAGTTAGAATCAGTAGCAGCGAAAAACATTATTGTGGTGAAGTAGTGGTATGCGGCAAGTATTTTGATTTGAATACCTACCTATTCATAATAATGTATGTTCCGTAACTAACTTTTGATGAGAATGAATTAAATTATATACATACAAAGCATATGCTGCCATAACACCTTTTTCATATTGCTAATATTTTTTACATTTCGCAGGTGAGTTATGGCTGACCTAAGGATATGTATTTTGGTAAATTATAAATAAATTATCAAGAGCTTACAGTTTTATTTCATTATAATGTCCTGTTGTAATACAAGACTAGTTGAGAAATATACTTGCATTTCATAACTAACGAAAATGATTAAATAAATGATAGCTCTGAAAGTATTATCAGTATTTTGATGAAATTTTGACCATAAGTTACTACTACGAAAATGACGAAAAAGCTCTGCAGTTTTTGAGAATCGGTACAGTGGCGGCGGTCAAACTTTATTTTTCGACATTTCTGAGGCTCCTGACAGACTTGAGTTGTGGTCGCTGAAGACAAATCTGAAATTATTTTTCGGCGCTCGAAAAAATTGTTTCATCGTTCATTTTGTATAATTTTTCCTTCAGTTGTAAAGGTTCAAGTTCGACACTGACACCGATAATAGACGTTGGCGCCACCATGCGTCAAACTTCCGAGACTAATAAGTTCATCCCATCGTGTAGGAGACACACTTGCCAATTGCGGGGTGACGAACGCTGTGCACAACGTTGTACACAACGTTGGAAGCATCCTGTCAGACCCGCATAACAGGATGAACGTCAAAACTCAAAACCGTCATCCGTCATCCGTTAATAAGGTTAAAACAGTCAAAGCAAACGTCAATTTTTAAAGGTTGGGTTATGTTGTGGTTTTGGGTTATGGTTGGTGCTGATGTTTGGCCTGGCTTTATTTTTCATTTAAATAATATAGACTTTTGAATTAAGTATACGTACTACTATTATTGTCATTAAAAAATATTTTAGCTACACTAATGATGCATTCAAGTTCAACCGTGGATATATTAGATTTATTTGAATGCAACAAAGTTGTGAAAATATGTGCACCCATGGTACGATATAGCAAACTCCAGTTCAGGAATTTAGGTATTAACATCCTATTTGCAATTTTCTATAAAGCCTCAATATTGATTCTCTTCAGAGATACATGTTCATGAATGTGGAACAACAAACTGGGTGCTTTTGACCAATTAAAGATTTGTTTATCATCTATAAACGTTCCAGTAAAGAAGTGACCCATATTATTGATAACGTCATTGATTAACCTATCCCACCAAAAGATAACCAACCCAATTGATGGCAGTGCCTGAGTGAAAATAAACGTAATGTCATGTACTTATGTTTTTCATTTTCCATCAGTGAGAAATCGTTAGATTACAAAATCTTAGGAATTAATATGAGGAGGTTGAAGTGTAGTCTTTTCTTGGGAAGTTCAAGAATAAACATTTTTCGTCAAAAGGATGAACATTATTATTATGTCTAAGGCTTAGGCTGCACTAGTTTTTTCCCGCAAGCGATAAACCACCAAACGGCAAAACCGCCCGAGACGCACACACTACGGTTTTAAAATCAGTCGCTGGAAAAACGGTCAGTGCGGCTGCTTCCATTAGTTCACTTGACTAACAAAGTCAGGCGGTTAAATCGGCGGCTTTTTAGCCCTAGTGCTGCCTAAGCCTAAGCCATTGTACTTAGTAATATGGCTGTGATAATGGCAATTGTAAATGAACATCCAAAAGCAGCATATGGTTGTGCCTGTTAATCAAAGTTGATTGGTTCTAATGTACCTTATAGTAATGTGTTTTTTACCATGTTGTTCTTAGTAATGCAATAGTCTAATAGATATTTTTATTTTAGTAAAAATATATGGATGTGATCTTACATTTACACCAATGATATTAGCAGATTCATTTTGTCAAAGTGAAAAAGCTAGACAGAATGAATTTACAACAAACCTCATGGACACACCAGTGATTGTACAATTTGCTGCAAATACAGTACATGATTTTGTTGGTGCAGCTCACTTAGGCAAGTAATATCAGCAAAATTTTATTTTGTGCATTTCCATTAATGACAATTGACAAAATGAACAAATATATGACATGTTAGTCTAATCATATCATAATAAAATCAATATATAACATTTTATTTTCCCCAGTATCTCCATATTGTAATGGGGTAGATCTCAACTGTGGATGTCCACAGAGATGGGCTAGAGATCTTGGCATTGGTTGTGAGATGTTGAAAGATCCACAAAAGGTTTATGACATTGTTAGGCAGTGCAGGAATCAGATAGGAAAGCCACTCACAGTTAGTGTGAAAATGAGGTTGCTTGGAGAGACAAAAACTACAGTAGAGATAGCCAGGTAAAAATGTGTATTATTATTATTTTCTATTGTCATCAACCTTGACTCACCAAAAATGTCATTGTACATTCCGTGGCGCTCAATAAATATCTATCTGTCTATTTATCTGACAATTATTATCAATGTTACAAGTCAATGCAGGAGTTAATGAGTCATATCATACTTTGTCTCATAATATTGGATTCTCTGCTAACTGTAAATTCTGTATAAAATTACTTCCTTCTGAAACCATTCAGCGCTTTCACTCCGCAAAGCAGTGCTGGAACTCCAATACTCCAATAGCCTTCAACTGGTCAATTACAGCTTTTTGAATGTTTTCGACTCTCCTAAAACTATTCGCTTGAGGTGATTTTTTCAACTTCGGGAAGAGAAAAAAGTCAGACGGTCTCAAGTCAGGCGAATAAGGAGGCTGAGGAGCCAAAGGAATGTTTTACTGGCCGAAAACGCGTTTATTGACATTGCTGTGTGTCAAGGAGAATTATCGTGTTGCAATACCCAGTTCTGCTTGATCTGCTGAACGGCGGTGTGAGTCAAATTTAACTCTTTCCCGATGATTCTGACCGTTAACCGATGATCTGAACGCACAATGTCCCGGATTCTGTCGATATTTTCATCGGTGAAGATGAAGGCCTTCCACTTCGAGGTTCATCTTCAATCGACTCTTTCCTTTCTGAAAATGCCTTAAACCACCAAAAAGCCTGGGCTCTCTACAAAGCAGTATTTCCGTAGACCTGCTGAATTTTAGCAAGTGTTTCCATTGCACTGATAGCACACCGTGGCTCGAAATGGATTACATTCTTTTTGAACACATTAGGAAAAACTGTTTCACAAAAAAATTAGTACGGACAACCAAATGACTCGAGCGAGTTCAAATTTGCACCGAAGGTGGATCACATGTCCCCTTGTCACCCCTCCAAGCGTGGCGCCTCCGGTGTTGCCATATCGAACGCTATGTTGCCAGTTTCAACATTTAATTTACAGACCCCGTATATTATAATCATCTCTACAAAGTAGATCATTCTAAAATAAATATAACAGTTGTATATCATCTAACAGAATATAGAGTATTATTTCTATTCTACTGAGGAGTGGGCAACCCTAAAATAAGTAACTTTATAGCCTCAACCATTGTGTGTGTTTGTGTGTGTGCTTGATATATATGTTAAAGATCTATTTCTAATATAACCATATTGCAGGCAGTTGGAAAACTGTGGAGTCAGTTTCATCACAGTTCATGCCAGAATACCCAGTCAGTCTGTTGGAGATATTAATAAAACTGATTTAGCCAATATAAAAGATAGTGTCAGTGTTCCTGTTGTAGGAAATGGTGGAGTTACAAGCTTTGAGGAAGCATTGCAGTTACAAGTTGAAACAGGTAAAAAGTAGTGCACACTTTATTAGATTAACAATACCAAAGCTTACAGAATACATGCGTAGCTTTCGACAAATACGAGAGCAGTATGATAAGTACTGTTTTTTTTCGCAATTCGGCGTCGAATCGGTCAAATAGTTCGGCATAGTAGAGCCCTGTGACCGTTTTGCTCTTCTCCAGATAGTCGATATAGATCACTTCCTGAGAATCCCAGAAAATGGTGGACAGCACCTTCCCGGCCGATAGGACAGTCTTCGGCTTCATCGGAGCACGTTCGCCGGGTGAAATCCACTGTTTCGACAGTTCTTTGGTCTCTGGTGTGTACCAGTGGATCCATGTTCCGTCGAAGGTCACAAAACGACGCAGAAACTTCTTCGGATTGCTCATAAACAGCGTCCAACACTATTCTGAAGTTGAATCTCGTTGAACCAATTTTTGACGGTCGCCATCGAAGGAGACGAGTCACCGTAGCCAGCATCCAAGCGCTCTTTGATTTCGAATCACCGACCGATATTGGTCTTTTTCCATTTTTCTAAAATCCGTGGATACTCCGATTCGGCTTGCATTTTGACAGTAGCCGTCTACGAGAATGTTCTACACGGTAGTAAATTTCTCTTGCGATAGTGACCTCAACTGGGGGTGAGGATAATACTATTGGGCCGCCCTTGTATATCCAGTCAAGTGGGACATCCACTTCAACGAAGGTATTCTGTAAAATGCAACGAGTTTTGCTGAAAAGTGATTCAACTTATCTCTCCTAATAAACTGAAAGATCAATTTATTGCATAACAGGGATACACTCATTAGGTCTGTTTCTGAGTAACTGATAAATGCTTTCTTCTGTTTTCATTTGGTTGAATGTCTTACTCTTACAGAGTTTTTTTCAACATCAATTTACTATTTACCATTTACTTTTAAGGTTGTGATGGAGTAATGGTGGCAAATGGCATTTTGAATAATCCAGCGCTATTCTCAAATACCACAGTTACTTTTAAGGAATGTATTCAAGATTGGGTGAACATCTGTTACAACAGTACAATACCTGCCAGCAAATATAACAAAATAGCTGACTCTCCAATAAGATCTATAGATGAAAGACCGTACAACCTAACATTCCAGTGTTTTCACCATCATTTAGTTTTTATGTTGGAAAAAGTTCTGACACGCAGACAAAGGCAGGTGTTTAATAACCTGAAACGTTTTGAAGAAGTGGAACATTTTTTAGAAACATACTTTGACGTAAAACCTCAGCTTTACGAATTCGAAAAATTTTCAAGATATGCTTGCATAGAGACGGATTATAAAGATAAAGATGATATATATAAATTGTTAAGACCAGTTGACTTGATTGATAAGAATGAATGGTCATTCTACGATTGTGATAATAATGATGGGAAGTATTTCAATTATAAGCAGAAAGAGCTTCAGAATGATGAATGCGATTGGGCAAACATATTTTTAGAGAATGGCTAATGTTATTGGAACACATTAAGTATCTAAATCAAAATGGTACTCCTGAAGAATAACATGTTGGTAAGTTATTGAATGGATTATGGTAATTTAAACCACTCCAAATATATTGGGTTCTAACAGCTTTATACTGAGAACCAAATTTGTCCGACGGCGTGAGTCCAATGTATACGAGAGAGAAGTGTGTATAGACACATGCTAGATAGAGATAGAAGCCAGCCGGCGAACCTCATCACCTGCTGCGATGCCCATATGTTACACCAATACCTTGAATGCATATTGATGCATGTTGATAATATGCGTTAGTTCATCCTCTACGCCCAAATAGTGATTTTATTTTGAGCGTACACATTTTTTTGAATTGTGAATTGTATCAAAGCTGTTCAGGATCGATTCCAACCGATTAGGTCGAAATGAAAGGTCAGGATCGCCACAAATTCTGCAACATTGCATCATTGGTTCGCCTGTCAACACCGCATTCGTACATTCCAAGGCAAGGTTTCCACCATGATCATAGATGAGCGATTTTGGTCAGTACTCATCTAGCGCTCATTGGGGAGTGTCGTCCTGCTTTGAAATGGTCTTCACCTGCGCACACGCAGACAGTGATAATTTGTATTGCGTAATGGTATTTGTTATATTTTCCGACTGCTAGCTGTCGCAAAATGTAACAATAACTCGGGATGTGTTGATTTTATCACCTTCGGTGGAAATCAAAGATAATTTTAAAATGAATTAAAACATTAACACACATCAAAATTGAAATAAATAATTCTAATTAAAATGAAAACAAAATATAGCATTTTCCTGGGTTCATTTGCGTATGGATTAAAACACTCGATTCCACAAAAAGAAATGCACTAATTTACTTAAAACACAACACAGCTCACTTTAACTTGACTAGATAGAACATTTATGTACACCACTATTTATGTCTGACTACTTATTTACGAATTATTATGTCACGCCATTCACTCAAGACTGCCTTCCTCTGCCGGCCGTCGCCCTATATATTCCGCATCGCATGAACTCGTTAGTTCGAGAAAGTTCCGGAGAGCCACATAGCGGCAGTCCAGAATCTTCGAGGTCACTTCGCGTCGATCTCGAAGAAGAGTCCCTGGCGTGGTTCCCAACAGATGTCACTCGGAGTACCACTCGGTGTCAGTCTCGCTTCGAAGGAGAGTCACTGGCGCGATTCCCAACAGATGGCGCTGGTAGTACTATTTATTCTTGTTACAATATTAAATTAAATGTTCGAACAGACCTCCTCAGGTTTGACAGTAACCTAGCCTATTGTAGAAGTCTTTGCGAACATTTTTTGGTGTAACATCTTGGCAACGCGGCAGATTGCACGACCTTTTACTTCACCGTCGCTAGACAATGTAGTGATGCCCTTTGCTCTTCAGCCGGCTTCTACCTCTTTTTAACATGTGTTGATACGCACTTCTCGCGCTTCTATCGTGTACACATTGAACTCAGCCGTCAGATAAATTTGGTTTTTCTTGTATATCACATATTATCTGTACAGTGATAAAAGTTGAGCTATCCCCTTCTAAAATAGTGTGGTCACTCTTAACAATGGCCGGAATTAAATGTGATGTATAAACAGAACTACACAATACAAAAGTACAACTCTGAAATGACAAAGAGATAATTACAGTTATTGTTTTCGTTTTTCAGTGCATGCAGTATTTGAAACCAGCAAGATATGGTTCGACACTTGAAGGGTAGTCCATTCAGTGCATTTGATGAGTAGATAGAAAAACAGCTTTTAATTGTAATTTAATCAGGACACTTTGCTTAATGTGCGACTTTTTATTGGAAAAAACACTATACAAAAATCCATGCAAAGAGCCACCATGTAAAAATACACAAAAAATGCTGTTCTCCAAATCTATACGTTCAAATACCAAGAGGTTCTTCCCGCGGTAATACCAGAAGAATGGAGTTTTGTGTTGTCATGAGAGAAATAACCGATAATGACGACCGGTTTTTCCAAAACTTTTTTTTTTCGGAAAAAAGTTTGGTCAACCAGTCAATACAATAAATACGCTTGAAAACTGATGTTTAGATGGATACCATGCATGTATAATCTGTTCTAAATCACTTTTGTCAATAAATGCATATCTATAGTAATAAACCCTTTTGTTGTAGCATGTTTTTTCGCCAATCTTGGAAACTCTATGCAGTGACGATATAATAATGTGATATATGTTATTATTTGTCCTTGAATAATCGAAAATTTTTTGTTCTTGTAGCAACTGCTTTTACTTCCTACGCCACTGAGCAAGGAACTATTGTAATAGCGACAAATTTCGTTATTATGTTTTTTGGATGTCATATGATATACATCACGATACGTCATGCCACACATTTCCGTCGGTCTGTCTTTTTGTCTGCCTGTTCGCTAATCCATGAACCCGCTGTAACTTTAGAAGTGCTGGACGGATTTTGCTGACATTTTCACAAAAAGTGTTACTACTATACGAGTACCCACGACAAAAGAGCTTTGTAGCTTTTGAAAATCGGTCCATTGGCGGCGGAGAAAAATGCCAGAAACGAAAAATATAAAAATCGCTCAATCTACGCTTTTTGGCGTTTTAAAGGGCCCTGATCATTTTTGTAGGGGTTAAGATTTGGGAGTTGTAGAGGGTGGATGAGAATATATAATTTTTTTTATCTTAGTATATTTATACGCTCCCAACCCCGGTAATTCTATGCACCTATCAGCCATATTTCACACATCATAGATTTACCCATACATATGGCTTTAAAACTTATGATCGAGAAATACGTTCGAGCTGGCGAACTGATCCAGCTTATACAGGGTGGCCCAACGAGTGACGTGATAAAAGAAAAATTAGGTTCCTGAGGTCGAGAGGTATTCGAATTACCCCCATTTATATGGTCCGATTCTTTTTTGTTTAGTTTTTTTCAGCATTTTCAAGAAGTTTCGAGTTTCCTGCTTATTTTGGCAATAACTTCAAAAATAATTGCGATAAATGCCTGCTTTTTTCGTTATTATTTAGGTAAAACTTGAGGCTTAACTATCGTAAGATCAATCTAGTCAAGTAACTTATACTTGTAAATTTTATTAAAAACGTCGCAGATAACAAGAAAGTGAAAAAGTGCAACAACTTGGAATGCTTTTAAAAACTGGAAAAACATGTCCTTCCTATGCCTAAGTATCTTAAAAACTTTCCCTTTGTCAGATATTCACCAAAAAATTTCATCGATCTAGCTTTACTATGTGCTTCCTTAATTATTGTTGCTCAAAGAGAACCGAACCAAAAATTGTATTAACCTCTGTTCAATAGAACTTGTTAGTTACGGACAAGACAACCGTAAACATAGAAAAAAAAGTCTGACCTCGGTTGAACAGCTGACTATAATTGAAATTTTATTTACAAAAGGTTTTCAAAATGTCTGCCTCCAACAGAAATGCACAAACTACACCTGCGTATGAACTATTGTTTTAACGCCCTAAATGCTTGAGTGTTGTTTTTTATGACATGCGTTGATTCTTCAATTTTGTTCCTTAATGCGTTTTCATTTGCACATTCTTGGGCAAAAGTTATATCTCTAAAATAACCCCAGGGGAGCGTGGAGGCCACCTTATCGGTCCGTTCCGTCCGATGCATCTGTTGGGGAACTTCGCATGTAAGTAGTGTCGCACTATCGTTGCGTTGTGACACGGCGCACCATCATTCTGGAACACCATGTTCCGTCTGACTGCCAGGCTTGAATCTTCCAGCAACAATGGTAGGTTATTTTCCAGAAACCTTTTGTAGGCTACCGAATCCAACCTCGACGCAGTTCATATGGACCCATAAATTCCCCATTAAATAACCATGACCACATGTTCACGCTAAAGCGGTGTTGAACTGACGAGGGTCTTGACTGGTGGGGATTCTCCACAGCCCATGTATGCAAATTATTTTTTACAAAAAAATCGGCATCTTCTCGTTGTCCTCGCAGCATAGTCTCACAGACATCCACTCGCAACTGGTAATCTATGGGCATCAATGCTTGTACCCTTTGAGCATGGTAGGCGTGGTAACCTGATTCATGAAGAATATTTTGTATGGTTGTCCTTGGTATGCTTAGGTTTCGTGTCATAGCCCTCGTATTCTTTGCACTATTTCTGTGCGATCCGGAGAAGTTGCAGGAATTCCTTCATTGCTTCCTCGTCCTGGAATGCGGCTTGCCATCAAGGTGTTATGTGTGTTAATAAAAACACGGTGATCAGGGTAATGCCCAAGAATGTGCAAATAAAAACGCATTAAGGAACAACGACGCTTGTTATAAAAAACAACACTCGAGCATTGAGCGTTAAGCAAAATTTCATACGTAGGTGTAGCTTGTACATTTCTGTTGGATGCAGACATTTTGAAAACCTTTTATAAATAAAATTTAAATGATAGTCAGCTGTTCAACCAAGGTCAGACGTTTTTTTCTGTTTTTACGATTGTCTTGTCCCTAACAATTACTATTGAACAAAGGGTAATCCAATTTTTGGTTCGGTTCTATTTGAGCCACAATTAAGGAAGCACATAGTAAAGCTAGGTCGATGGAATTTTTGTGGTGAATAGCTGATAAAGTGAGAAAGTTTTGAAGATACTTATGCATAGGAAGAACATATTTTTACGTTTTTAAAAAGCATCCTAAGTTGTTGCACTTTTTCATGTTTTCGTTATCTGCGACGTTTTTAATAAAATGTACAACTTAGTATTAGTTACTTGACTAGATTGATCTTATGATAGTTAAGCCTAAAGTTTTACCTAAATAATAACTGAAAAAGCAGGCATTTATCACAATTATTTTTGAAGTTATGGTCAAAATAAGCTCGAAATTCGAACATTCTTTAAAAATCCGAAAAAATCATAACTCCGAAACTAGAAAGAATCGGACCATATACATGGGGGTAATTCGGATATCTCTCGATCTGAGGAACCTAATTATTCTTTTATGACGTCACTCGTTTGGCCACCCTGAATATCTGTCTGTATTACACGGACCTTGCACGGAGCGGAAGGTAACTCTCTGAAGCGATGCTGAGCAGATGTGAAAAGGGACAACGTTGCTACATAGACCGTATCTGTCATCAAGGCAGGGAAAGAATGTTTATGGAATATAAATTATATGGTCCTGTTTGGCTGACCTAATACGTTTACTTTCTCCCTCTTGTACATGAGCGTAACTGACTTTCTCAGCGGATTTAAATTGCGTTGAACTTAATCCTTTATGAACTGATGACGGCTCAAATTGATATTAAGCCGCACTAGGTTTTGTATATTTGGTGACATTGGTAAATTGACAGCCAACTTGCATGCTCGGGAAATTTGGTTACTTTATTAGTGGCACCATCTACAGGGTCGGCGGGTAAAACAGCGGGGCAGAAAGCTAGTTGAATATATATATATATATATATATATATATATATATATATAACTCAAATATCTTTCTTCAACGAAAACGTTTTTAAAAAGATTTATTTTTGAGAAAGACCAAATACAATGATGTTAATTGAATGAGTTCTGAATCGAGACTGACTGCAAAGTTCATTATACAAACCAAAGTAAAGAACAAATGAAATACAATACTGTAACTGATAAGAAAGGCACGTGGAGGCAAAAGTCCTTGTTCAGCATATTCTTCTCTGTAGACTGGTACATAACTCCTCCACCCCTAGAATGAAGCTTCCCCTGGAAGGTGAATTTCTTTCTTCTTATATCTTGAACTGGAATCTTCTCTTCTAGTGCGTTTTGTGGGACTTGGACCTTCTTCTTTCATCTCGGCTAATTCAATGTCGATTTCTAACTTGGATGCTTTCTTGTTTCTCCATCTTCTATATAAAATTATGCAGCAGATGCTTGAAAATACGAGATATAGTAATATGGTCCAAATACTGGGTTTTCCAAAATTTTCTATGGAATTTTCTTCTAAAATTGGTAACATTCGATTAACTTGTAATTCTGGTAAATTTAATGTTTTCAGAGTAATTTGTGTCTCTGGGATATTTTGTTTCATAAAATGGAAATCCATTTTGTCAGCTACGAGGGGCTTTCCATAGGTTTTGTCTTGAAAGATAAGTTCATTGTCTTGGAATGATATTTGGCATTCACTGGCTTTGACTAAGAAAATGCCAAGTAATGACTTTGTATCGATTTGCTCCTTGCATTTAATTTTCAATTTTTCTTCGGTGAGAAATACAGCTAAATACTGGTTAATTTCGGGAATAAATTCGATGTGATTTTCTTCAATCTGAAGCTTCGTGTATCTACATGGTTCTGTATGATCTTCTGTAATTATTGACTTCTCGCATTGGGCTTTGTGATTGGCTAATATACGATAAGGGCATTGATAGATTCTACCTTGGGTACAAATCTCGTGCAGGGGTTTGATCTCATTTCGATCAGATTTTAGCAAATACTTATAATTTGGGATAATAGTGACGAATTCTGATTTGTGCATCAGAGTCGGTATGGGTAACATATAATAAAGATCGAAATGTTCAGGATAATCTATAGGAATAGATAGAAAATAACTTATTTGATTCTCATCGATTTTACAACTGATAGAAATAATAGATTCATAATCTAGCATATTTTCATCCTTTACTTCAAATGGTAATTCACTTTTATAAAATGTGGATATCTTACGGAGTTCTTGAAATAATTCTCTAGTCCTTATTATACTGGGATGCATGGTTTTCAATTTGCAAAAAGTTATCGAATTTTCGATATCTTGTAAAATATTCAATATGGCATTATAAAGGATAATTAATTGATTGATAATGTCCTTCGCTGAAAGAATATCCTGGTTTGTTGTCTGGTTCAATAAAATATGTTTCAATTGTAAAATGTTATTTCTTAATGTCATCTCATTGTGCTGTATATCTTGAATAGTCCCGTTAAATTTTGCGACAAGTTCATTGTTTACTGAATATTGCATTCTCAGCTGATTTTGAATATGATGCTGATTTCCTTGTAAATGAGATAAAATTTTATCAATACGTTCTCCATCGTCGGAGTCTAAATTTCCTGTTATTGTTTTTACTACATAGCCTATGCCATTAAAAAGTCCTCTCTTATTGCGAGTCTTTTGAGAATGAGATTTAATGTATTCGGTTTTCTCTTGA